TGACCATGTTAAAGAATTTATATTCATTCTTCGTAGTTTTAAACAGTGTTATAAAATTATTTATTTAGGTGGTTGAATAAGTTTATTTTCGTGATGTGTAAAACAAATTTAAACAAAAAAGGATAAGTGATTGAGATACTGTAAGTGGACAGGTGCCACTAGGTACTCTGGTACAATAAATCCAGTCCACATTCGTGCATCCACTAGCAAATCAAACTCCATAAGTCAAATCAATCTAGTTGCTTAATTCCTTGAGTTATCATCTTTACACACTTACTTTTTTTTTGGTCAATTACACACTTACTTTTAAATTACAAAAAAAAACTAAGCAAATCGGCTTTAAGTACTCACTGGTCGTAAAACATTAATAGTAGTTCTTACTAAGAGACTGAGAGCATTTTAATAGTATAAACATTTCATTACGAAAATACTTCCAAAAACTTTAGTACTTTGCTAAAACTCGTCATGGGATTTACAACGTTACGTTTCTCTCACTTAGATTTAAATTTGTTTAAGATCAACACAACAAATATCAGCTGACAAAAGGAAATCTCAAAACGACTCTATTTCATTATATTTTTAACTGATGAGAAACTTTACTTGGTTTGCTTTCACACCTCTTTAGAAATCTTAATGATACTCACTGTATAACTCTTAAGATTCAGGGGTTTGCATTCTTCTCCATTTCATATTGGATTACCCCACAAGATCAAATCGCTTTTAATTCTTTTTGTTCGAGCCGAACTCAGTGACTTCGAGTATGAGCTTCTCTCTGTCAAAAACTATATATGTTCCAGAAACTTTTTGTTTTACTTCTTCGTTTTAGGTCATCCAAGTCCACCAATTCATTATATATCTTAACTTATTAATCATGTAGAGGTTGTCATAGAGACAACACTAGTTATATTAAAATGTTTAAGACTTTCAACATCAATATAGAACAGCCAAAATATTGTTTTCTTCCCGGGATGATGTGAGAAAGGTCAATGGTGATTAGAGAAGTTTTCTTGACAAATGACAAATGGTTATATGAATACTAATTTAGTTTATTTAAAATATGTTATCTCTGTGCATAATCTACTGTTAAGCTGAGTTGTATTAGTAATAATTAGTCAAGAGGCCTCCATTAAGCCTACTCTGGAATCAGGATAATGATCTGTCACGGAGATAAAACTGTTTTAGACTTTTAGTGAAACTAATATGGCTTTTAACGTGTAAGTTGAATATTACTTCGTGTGAATACCCATTTGGGGAAATCTTTATCTAAAGAATAATAAATCAAGAGAACATAAAGTCAAAATAAGAAAAAATGATTGTACTTTGGACAGAACAACTATATATTTCTTAAGATATTAAAATACATCATCAAATAGAGGTTATAGAAAAAGTATACATACCCCTATCAATAATTCAACTAGAGCCAACTCATAGTTAATAGTTTCCCTCTCCATCATAGTTCCACCCACTAGTCTTACGTTCGGCAGGCTCTTGAATTTGAAGTTTAATGTACAATTTTCTGCTGAATTTGAATCCCATTTAGCGATCACTTTTCAATCTAAAACTCATATATTTTTGCATTAACCACATTGTTTGTAAGCTAGCCATTTTCTTTTGATAAATCCCAAGTACAATCATTTTTTCTTACTTTGACTTTATGTTTGATTTATTATTATTTAGATAAAGAATTCCCCAAATGGGTATTCGCACGAAGTAAGATTAAACTTACACGTTTAAAACTATATTGTAAGCAAGCGATTTTGCCTTCATTTGTATGTAGATGTGAATTTTATTTCAGCTAGGTACATATCTTTAGTTATTTCTATATTTTGGCTAACTGCCGGTTCTACTATTATACATACATACACATATCCAGTTGCCTATGTTCAATTTTTGTGTCTACATATGGATTAAAAATGGATTCCTAAATTAATTACAAGACATGACTCCCATAAAATACACAAAAGCTTGTAGTCTTTTATGCATTTACATTATAGTTGTGCGGACTATATAATTTTAAATTTTATCAACTACCACTTTGTGATACTTAAAGTCTACCTGATGTATATATATATAGTCAGTCTACCCCATATAAAAAAAATTAAATACTTAAATTGTTATATTTGAGATCAGTATAAGTTTTAGATACGGTTTATTTAACCAACTTAGACTTACTTCTACATACAAATAAAACTGCATTTTAATTTCTGATTGATTGCTTCTGTAGTGGTATAAAACCACACGTTTTCCAAGTTCTTAAAAGAAGAACGGCACGAAGTTTTAATAGTAGCGGCTGACCTTGAAACCCGACATCTCATCGATCATTGTCATTTGTGTTTAAGTCAATTTGATAGCGAGCGAGCGAGCGAGAGTGATCGAAGCAGTGATGCCAGGAAGTGTACCCAAGCTCCCAAAGATCCAACCGGCGGATATCCAGGCCGCCGTAGGATGGGGTGTCGCCGCCGCAGCCGGCGCCATCTGGGTCGTCCAAGTAAACCCCTCTCTTTCTCCTTATTTTCAAATTGGGTTTAACTGATTATGTCTCCTGGTGAAATTGCTGGCTTGGTTTTGATAGAAAGATGAAAACTTTATAAGTTACTAATTGAGTGATTGTAAAGGCTGTAACTTAATATAAATTGCGTCGTTTTATTAGTATTTCATTTTCATGGAAAGGCTTGATTCATGTCTCTGTTTTGATTTTAGATGTTAAAATCAACACTCGAATTAATGATCCATTTCGTTTTCAATGTGATGTTCCAACTAAATTTCTTTCAGATTAGTCTCCTGTTTTGCTTCTAGGGATGTACGGTCTTTAGGAGGATACAGTTTTAAATTGAGATAGAAATTACTTTTACTTCTGTTTCTCGATCTTTTAATGCTAAAAGTATTACATGCTTTCGTTACTGACAGTGACTGTATGTAAATTCGTATTAATGAATAGAGTAATGAAGCTCGTGACCTTATTTCTCTAACTCATTTTGTTTACACACAGCCATTTGGTTGGATAAAGAAGACATTCATCGATAAACCTGCAGCTGAAGAGAAGTGATGGATCACCAAGATTCAAGACAAAGTGAGAGTTTTTCCAGTTTCCAAGTTTGTTAATCGCATCTTTGCCATTGGAATCACTTAATAAATTTTGGTTCTTTTCTGCGGCTGGCTTTGTAGTTTCATGTTTTCAGTGCAGACTTTTTTCCTTCTTCTCAAGTGTTATAATACTTGAAAAAACACTCTCCAACTTATTGAAAAAAAAAAAGAGAGGATGCCTTATTATCGTATGTTGTTATATCATATGAAAGTAGACTTATAGGTCAGGGATCATAAGTAGGAGAGTTATGATGATGACTGGGATTGTTGAGCTTATGAGCAAACACAAACAGATTGAGACCATTTGGGGTACAATGTGATGCAGACACAGATTCTGATTCTATGAAACATCCACTTCATTCTTTTCGCTAGCTTATGCGTATCTCTCAAGAGAAGGAACCTATTATAGTTGCGAGATGTATCTTATTAAACAGTTTGTATGTAACCAACACACAGCTGCTGAAAAAAGCAAGAGTTTCGATTTGAAATGAATTGATTGTTGATTTATAGCTCAGTAAATGGTTCAGAGAGTAGCTCCTTCTTGCCTCTCATTCTACACCAATGTAGATCAGTGTAGCATCATACTCTGATACAAGACAAAAAAAGAGTGGTAATACAAGATGTTGTTCTTCTTTTATTATAACCACTGATGAGATACTGAAGAAAACGTTTTCAAGTTTTCCAGGGAAATAAAAAAAAAACGAATTTAAGAGCTCTCTTTTTCGAGCTTCTCAATCTCTTCACGGTGCTTTCTTTCAGCTTCTTGAAGTTCTCTTTCAGCGTCTTCTTCCTCTTCAATTCTGTCAAGATTATCGAACTCCTTAGTCGCTGCCATGGCTTTCACAACAGGGTCTCTTAGTTCAGAGATCAAACCACCTCCTACTTTGTACCCTTCTTCATCTCCAATCAAATACAACCGTTGGTCAGGACCAGATGCCATTGGAATGTCCACCGCCAAAAGCTTCATGTCATACTGAAAAAAAAAAACACAAAGATCAATGAATGAGAGACTCACCACTCACAACCTAATGCTCAACGAATCCTCACATTCTTATTATCTCTAATCAACTCACAACAGCTCTAATCTGCTACATCCAGTCTTAGGCTAGAGATAGTAGAACTATAAGCTAACAACGTGAACTAACACAGGAGAAGGTTGGATATATAAAAGGTGCAAATGTGGAGTTGAGAGAAAGTAAAACCTGGCCTTTCTTCTTCTTAACTTCAACGCTAACAAGTCCCTTTCTCTCAGAACCTTGAACAGGGAACAGGAGAAAGCAACGCTTGCTCCTAATTGTTGGCTTGAATTTCTTAAATGTTATGCCACCACCTGACATCACATAAGCTCTCAAATCCGATCCTGACAAAGGAGCACCCATAACTTCTAGAATGTCAGCTGCTGTGTTGATCTTCCTCATTGTCATCCTGTATACTTTATCCGGATTTATTGTGAACCTTGAGCGCAGGTATAGTCCCTATCATTAGCAAAGATAACAGTTAATGACTCATAGGAGAATGTAACAGCAAACAACACCATATCTTATGCCACTTTCTGCATCCTGTGCACAATATCCTGCCTTCTTACCACTACTAGTAACTGTAATATCTTATGATATAGCTTAAGTCCTAATGAAACTAAACCAACATCACTGCATATAATGGAAGTTTCAACCAATCACTATCAACTCAATTTCTTCATGACAAGTTCACTGCATTGAGCAAAAAAATTGTAAAAGCCAATTAACTTGAAACAGACAAAACTTACAGAGAATGCAACAATAGCTGAGGAGAGAGCAAGAAACCCATACTTAGCCATACCCTCAGAGAGCCCAACAAAAGTACTCGCAATCCCAAACATAATCCTCCAAAGGAAGATGCACACAAAGACACCACCAGCTCCATACAAAACAAGACTATTCTTCTTCCAAAACGCATCAACATGCAACCCTATAGCCTCACGGTACCTAACGAAGCTGGAGCTAACAGCTTTCACAGGCTTATCAACAACTTTCCTCGCAAAGCTCCCATCAACTTTCCGAAACCCCCCAGAGCTCTTAGTCGTCACAAACCTAAACGCAAACGGAAAGTTCGCGTTTTGCACACGTGGCAGACCCAAAGGTTGCAGCTTTAGCGGAGAGGAGAGGATCTGAGATAAGCCCACGTTCACGTTCGTTGATGAGAAGGTGAATCTAGTGTGGAGCTGGTGGGAGGGAACACCGTTCGATGATGGGAAAGGCGATGGGTTTGACCGGGGGATGGTGACCGGGTTGACCCGGGTGTAATGTGACCGGATAAAGCTTTGGATTGCTTTGAAATCAGATGGTTTCACCATCCTTTTTTAGATCGTTTCGGACAGAAGTGGAAGTAAAGGTTTCGAATTTGAGATCGAGGAGTCAAATGGGTTTCTGATTTTCTTGAAGAAAGTTATCGTCTTTTTGCTGAGTTTTGATTTTCTTCTGACGTTGGTGGTTGAATCGGAGAAGATCGGGGTGGATAATCCGAGTTGGGTTATAACATATCCGGGTCGGGTAGAGGTCATTTTTACTTACTGGGCTTTTATTGGGTCTTTCTTGAACGAAGAAACAAAAGCCTTATATAAAAGGGCCCACAAAGTGTAAGAGAATTTTAAAACACCCATGCCTGGTCTGTCCGGTGATGACAGGTTGGCAGCAAAGGACTACACGTAATCTTTTATTTTTCTAAAATTTGGGAAATCTTATATGAATCGCACACCTACTTGAGAGATGATGAAACTTGTATAATGTTTTACTTATTTACCTGTGTGTACATTGGACTATATATCAAGGTCTCTTCGAGTATATTTTCTTGTTCTACATAATATTCTCTATGAAAAAACAATACTCAATTGATTGAGACTTATGAAAGTTAATTAGCCTTAAGTTTGCTATGGCCTCATCTGTGAATAGCTTGGCTTACTAAGATTCAATAGTATGAGATATAACTATTAGCTAGTAGCAATCAGTTAATTATTTATCATTTAGTTTAACCAAGTGAATTTTTTGTAAAGATCTGTTACGTGTATATTATGTAAGGAGAAATTTGATCAACTATTGATAATAACCTGCGATTCCACGATCAGTATGATACTGTTTATAAAAATATTTTTTCCGTGTTTTTAAGTCCAATATGGAACAAGAAAATGCCTACGTACTGAAAATGTAAACTTTTGAATAGTTCACGAATTTTTTTAGTAGTTAATGCTTTGTGGATGTTTATAGGCTTATTAAAGCCGCTTAGAGCATGTACATTGAGGGTTTATAAGGGGGTTCACACAGTTTTATAGATGAACAGTGATAAATTTCTTTTTCCAAAAGTTCATCCCGGTGAACCCCAAAAGGGTGGAGTTCACCATATATCGGAAGGGAACTGGTTCAATTAAATTTTCTTTTTTAAAAAAAAAAATCTGACAAAAAAATAATAATAAAATATTACAAAGATGAATCCCTCTTGGGGTTCATTGATGTACATGCTCTTATAGCTCTTTCACAACGATAATAGTATATCATTTTCTGAGGCTAACTATTTAATACTATCACATAGTCACACTAATTATCCTTAGTGTACAATTATATGAATTCTAGGCCTACTAGCTACTATTTCATCTATGGTCCACTCGTTAACCTAAGATTAAACAAATAAGAAAATAAATAAACAAATAGACTATCTAGAAAACATTATCTAAATTCTCGAGCTCTACCACCGCTCGTTAAATCTGATCTAAAAATAAAACTAAAGAACCTTAATAAGCTGGCTGATGAACCTCTTAATAGCTCTCTCCCATCAAAAATCACAATACATATACGGCAGGAAAACCTTAAAAACAGTAAACTTATAAGATCTATATGTGTTAGTATCTCTCTCTATCTATATATATGTATATGTATGTAAGATATGGTGAGATTAGCTTTCCCTGACTCCCATGAAGACAATGACCGAACATCACCACCATCATCATCATTCATCATTCATCATTGTCATCACCATCTCTTTTTGTTTGTCCCTTTTTTGAGCCACCACTTGTTAAAACCTAGCTAGTTGCTAGTGGCTACATTCACCTACTTCTTCTTTTTCTATAAGTTACTGTTCGTCACTTATGGTTTCAGCACTACTCGGTTGGGAGAAGTTTCAGAAAGAGAGCTAGCTAGGGTTTTCTTTTCACACAGGTCCAATGAAATCAGAGCTGGTGAAACTTCAAGATCCATTGTAAGAGTTTTCTCATCATCACATCTACATTAGTGTTGACTTGCTTGAGATCTAATCTCTTTTTTTTGTTCTTTCAAATTTTCAAGTTTTAGGTTTTTCTTTACCTCGTCTTATGATCTTCTATTACCACATGTGACTTACTTTAGATCTAATATCTCTTTCTTCAGCCCACAAGAAAGGTAAACAAAATTTAGGCTTTTTCATTTCTGGTTTTAGGGTTTTCCCCCTTGTCTAGATCATGAAGAAACTTTTTTTTTTAATATTAATTCTGTATTTCACTTGTTTAACCCCTAACTGAAAAATTGTAAACCTTGATTTTGGAATCCAGTCTCTTTCACCTTCCATAACTGATGATCTTAAAGATAATTGTATTTACCAAGTGGTCAAACAAACTTATGTTGTTTAGCTAGCTAGTCTTTCTATATATTTTCTTATTTTATTTCATCATGATCTGTAATGACTATTGTGGCATCTTTCCGCACATGTTTTGGATCACCTGTCGTCTGCTTATGTATATATTTACTTTCAAGTAGTTATTATTAATGATGTTATTAATATATGGGGACTGTTCATAAATTCATATGTTAAGGGCTTACATCACTCATAAACGAATATCATTTTTAAAAGAACATTAATATTAATAGTGTTATTATGATTTCAATGTTTGATGAACAGTTCGTCCTTTGTCCCTCTCTCTTGGCTTCCTCTTCTTGACAAGACCCATCAGTGGTCTTTCTTGCACAGTAAAGCTTGCTTCTTCCTGTGAAGTTTTCACACATAACAATCAGAATCCTACCCTACCCTTGTAAGTTAATCCATACATGCATAATACATCAATATGTATATACAACATACATTGGCTGACATTCTAATCCACTACTGGTGCATTTAATTATAAGTACATGAAAATACTATTTCAAAACTAAATGTATAATGTTAAGTACATAGGAAGCTGTCTTGGTCACATTTGTATTCTTTGTAATGGCCCATTACTAGCAGAAATAAGTCCATGTGTGTTTGATACTATTCTGTAGAATTAACTGAACCCAAAATTGTTTTGTTTATATCAATTAAAAGTGGCCTTTCAGTGTTTCAGAAGTGTAGTGGAGATTAAAATAGGTAGATATAGCAGGAGATTCTTTCAGTCCAATCGTGGGTAGAACCAGAGGGTAGAAATATCTGCTGACTCATTCATCCA